ATTTTAATTTTAATTTTATTTTATTATTATTATTCTTTTTTTTTTTTTAATTCATGTATTCTTCTTTTATGTCGCGTTATTATATTTTCTAATATCAAGTACATTTTCATTGAATTACAGTTTTTAATTGATAAAAAATCTGATAGAAGAATTAATGTTAAAACTACTTATGCATAGATTTATTATGTATTAGATTTATACTGACGGTTAGTATTATTATCTAATGCATATAATGCTAATTTTACAAAATTTTCACTTAAGAGAATCTGGTAGTATTAGAGTATGATATGAACGATGTTCTGTGTTGGTTCTCACCCTGAGTCTGTATAATTACTTCAAAGCCATGCACCTCATGCAGCACACACGTCAATATAGCCCAGCATTGTGGCATAGATATACAGCTTGTACTAAAACATCGAAGCGAAGTAATTATATTCAGCTGCTAATGACACGCTAATGAGCCTACGTCACGCGCGGGCCGAAAAATCGCACACATTTAGCAACGGAAAGTGGTGATTCACTGCACCACGCGGAGGTATACACACGCACGCACAGATATTGCCACGATGCGCACGCCCGCACTATTCACGCATGCACGCCGCACGCACACGCTTGCACGGACGAGTTACACCACGCACGCCCACACGTGCGCCCACACGTGCGCACGACACGCCGCAACGCACGCTACAACGTACGCCCACACGTGCGCCCTGCACGCACGCCCACACGCCCACTGCACACGTGCGCACCCACGCACGCACGCAGCACGCCCATCACGATGCGCAGCGCACGCCACGCACGCCGCTCACACGTGCGGCCTGCACGCCCCACACGTGCGCCACGCACGCACGCTCACACTCACGCTTGCCAACAATTGCCCAGAGACGCAGAATGCAGCGTAATCTAGAGCAGGCAACATACATTAGATCAAAGAGCTAATAAATACCATAGGTCTTTATTAAGCTCTTGATAGGATATGTGTGTGTGTGTGTGTGATAGTGTGTGTGTGTGTGTGTGTGGTGTGTGTGTGTGGTGTGTGTGTTGTATGAGTGTGTGTGTGTGTGTTTGTGTGTGCGGTTTGCGTGGCGCACGCGCGCGTAGATGTTGGTTCTATGAGCTGTGTTTCGTGAGGCAGATGTTTAATGTGTCCTAAGTTGTGCTATATGTGATGTGTGTGTGTGTGTGTGTGTGTGTGTGTGTGTATGCTGTTGTGTGTGTGTGTGGTGTGTGCTGTTGTGTGTGTTGTTGTGTGTGTGTGTGTTGTGTGTGGTGTGGTGTGTGTTGTGTTGTAGTGGTGTGGTGTGTGTTGTTGTGTGGCATATAACGTTAGTTGATTCCTGACGTATTTTCCCATGTATCAACCTTAATGATATAAAACATTTCCGGAGCGCTATGGTGCGGCGTTAATATTCCGCACCTGGACATCCGTGTAATCGAAGTTTTTCTCGAGCTTCATTAGATCAACACGGAGGCCACGCACGTAACCCCCCCCCCCACACAGCACACACTCCTTCTCACACACACACACACCACACACCACACACACACCACACACCACACAGCACAACAACACACACACACACACCACACCCCACACAAACCAACACACACACACCAACACCACACACACACTCATACACACACACACACACCACCACCACACACACACACCACACACACACAGCACACACACACACCGCACGCACACATACCACATGACGCACACGGACTGACACACACAGCTCCCAGGCAGCTCATCACTTATAATACACTACACGGCACTCATATCTCACATCTACATCACACACATATTAACACAGCACACTCTACATCACACACTATCACACCTACTTACACATCTCAGCGCATCACAACACCATCACACACATCATCACAGCGCAACACACTACCGCACACGCACGCACATTTACGAACGCACGATGCACGTGCTATGTGCGATTACCCACACCTACATATCTAATATAATATTTCTGAATGCAGTCTGTTTGTTTGTCTGTCTTCAATGCAAAAATCATATATGTACACATACTAAAATTGCACAAGGATTTCAGTAGGCGGTAACCTTTAATGATGAATGTCATGGGCACATTGGATTTGACCTGCGAGGTCATCTAAGGTCGCAGGAGGACAAAATGAGGCAAAAATCGCAGGACATCTCAATCGTGGCTTCGTGCGTCGTTACATGTGTGACCGCCTGGTGATCACCAACTTAGGTGGAGACACACCTCACGCATGAGCTCGCAGCAATTAAATTCGTGTGTGAAGCGATAGGAAGCTGAGGAGAGCGAAGAAAGATGGCGTGGCGGGGGAAGAGAAAAGAACAGCAGAAGAGAGAGAGAGAGAGAGAGAGAAGAGATGAGAGACAAGAGAGAGAGAGAGAGGGAAGAGACGACGCGTTGCAGGAGAGGAAGGAGTGGTGAGAGGGTAGACAAAAAGAGATGGGTCAAAGGGGATAGGCTAGAGCAGTCGCGCGAGCGACGCCAGCGAGCGAGCGGGAGAGCCATATATGATATATATATATAATATCTCTCTTTGCTCTTCCATGCACTCAGCGTGCGTTGAACTTTATCTCTCTATAGTTTTTGTCGCTACCACTTGCATCTCATTAAGATGTTATGCCACGTCTCTCTCGCCGCGCTGGGCGGGATGCGGTGGGGCAGGTCGGATGCGGAACTAACGTCGCTGGGATGAGCGCGAATCAAGGAAAAGGGATATTAATTAAAAAAGTGGGGTTAAATGAAAAAGAGTACGAGAGAGAAAAAGTTTACGAGGAAATGAGAGCAGGACGATCAGGGCACTGGCTAGGAAGGACAAGAAGAGAGAAGAGAGAGAGAGAGAAGGAGATCGAGAGAGAGAGAGAGAGAGAGAGGATCTGGTGAAATGCTCGAGAGAGAGAGAGTGATGAGAGAGAGAGAGGAAGAGAGAGAGAGAGAGAGATGAGGAGAGACAAGAGAGAATGAAGTAAAAGGATCACAAGGGTGAAACAATGAAATTAAATAATACGTATTACCTCTAACTATATGTACAAGTGATAAGTTTCACATGTAAGTTTCACACAGACAATCCACACATTTAAGTGTTACAATAGAAACGGGACATCGCTATGTAACGATTTCTTATGTGTACTCCATATTATCATCCTGTATCTACTAATATCTATCAGTTACGGTTATGATTCTACATGCAACGATAAATTGGTAGGTGTGGTTTATGATCAGATTATTACAACATACCATCTCACGACTTCAATGCTGCTATAAATGTCTTATACCCGGTGCCTTCATCTAAGACAGTTTGAATCGCATTTGAATAAGGGGAAGCTTGGCAATTATTCTGCATTGTTGATTACATATATCAGCAAGTACAAGCAGAAATGCGGAGCAATCAACTCTCGGCTCAGAAAAGGCAAATCTCAAATAAAATAAAATAAAATAAATAAAATAAAAATAAATAAAATAAATAAAAATAAATAAAAATAAATAAAAATAATAAAAATAATAAAAATAAAAATTTAAATGACTAAATCACAATATGAATACTTACTCGACAGACTCGACGGCAGCCGTCAGTCAATCCGGCAAAGGCGTGGGGAGATATGTTCTCGATGTTGCAGTTCTGCAGATCTCTGAAATTAGACGTAACCGACAGTTTATGCCGGCGACAAACGTGCAAAACATATTCTACAAGGCGTGTCTTCTACGTTGGTAAAAAAAACAAGGCAGACGGACTTGTTAGGAATTTCAAGTAGTCGGAGGAGAGTCTATATACGGTCCTCGTAATTGTGTTAAAGATTAATTTAGCAGATAATTCTGCGTGATGAAATTTGAAATTAGGGCCGAAATTAGATAATGTTCCCTCTAACTTTCACGTAGAAAACATGATTACGCACAGATATTGCAGTAAACGCATACCCGACTACCAATAACACACAGTTTATGAGCGATGTACAATGAATCGTAACATTAACTAATAGTAGTATATGATATATGCATACGATATGTATATATATCTATATATCTATATAGTCTATATTATATATATATATATATATATATATATATTAAATAGATAGAGATGAGATAGATAGATAGATAATTAAGTATATGATAGATTAAACTCTCTCTCTCTATCGCGTTTTCTTCTTGTTGACTATTTGGACCAGGATCTTCGTATAAAAAAAGTCAAAGAAAGTTTAAACGTTTAAATGCACGTGGGAGAATAAAAATATAAACCAATTCCCTGGGCACATTGTAATGAGAACTAAATAAGATGCAAGTGACTTAGGTCAATGACACAAACGACAGGCGCTGTCACTTGCCTACGTTGACATTTCTACACGTAGGATGAATCTGGAAGCTTTTATCGGGAATCAACTCTTCCCTCCCCCCCCCACCTTCGCGACATGGCTAGGTCCTAGTCCTGAACCTATCTTTGGAACAAAGACACACAGCTACGGGAAATAGCTAGACGCCATAGTCCGATAAAGTTATTACTGCTGGTTGAAAAGACGCGCGGGACAAGTATTGAGCCTGGCATTGGGGGCCGGAAATGCCAATTACAATTACCTATGAGAGCAAACTCTGAAGTCTTCCATGTTTAGATATAGATATTCACGTCTTAATTTTTATTCGTTATTATGCACCTTTCTCGCATCGGGTATACGCCTCGCTTTGCAATGTCAAGTTTACACCAGGGTAGACGGAGTTTACCACGAGAAGGCTGGCACTAACGCAGATGGGGGTGTCTGGCGATATCAGGTACTACAAATATGATACCGAGGTAGTTTTGGGTTGTTTAGTATTAATGTTTATATTTTTATATGAGGTATCGTTTAGTTTACTAATTATTGTGTTTACAAATTATTGTGTTTACTAATTATTGTGTTTACTAATTATTGTGTTTACAAATTATTGTGTTTACAAATTATTGTGTTTACTAATTATTGTGTTTACTAATTATTGTTTCTGAATTCTGCACAGCGATCTGTCGTCGAATCTCATCGCCACTGTCCACAGCGATAGCTTCGTCAACGTTTCCAACACACTACAGCACCTCCTACTCGACTCCAATCACATCGAAGCGATACCAGTCGATGCGCTGCGGTCACTCTATAATCTACAGACGCTGTGAGTTTGCATGTGCTTCCCTCACCAGCGACGATGCTGCTCCGTGCGTGCGTAAAAGCCTTCTCGTGTTTTCCATCGTTTGTGGCGAAATGTTTTTCCATACCGCGTCGAAATCAATGTTAATCATAGCCTCGTGATGACGCCGCCTGGCCATCGAGTTGTTGTAACAGATATGTCATTCAGGCAAAGTTTATGTAATATTTTACATAAATTGAACTCAAGTTGATAGGATGGTGTTGCGCGTGTAGTAGTTGGATAGTGGCAGCGCGCTGTGGTTAGTCTTGCTTCCATCTTGGCAATAAAAAGAAATGAATACGAGAAGAAGAAGAAGAAGAAGAAGAAGAAGCTAATGGCATGGTTGTGCTTGCTTACGTTACTATCGCTAATGCACGCACGAGATCCGTGGCGACCGTGTCACGATATGACGTCATTGCCTGGTCCCCTCAATATAATCGAAATTATAAGGCAATGATTCTTTTTTTTAGTTCAAAGTAATAATAATAATAGAAAATACAATCTCTCGTATGTAACTAATTAATTTGATTTTTAGATAAACCTTCGCGATATTGTATAAAACGTCACCATATTGTATATTCATGTATTTGGCAGTCCTGCCGCGTCTAAATTGTTGTTATTATGCTTTCACATGTTTTCCTGTGTGTTGTCGCGTGTTCGCACGTAGCTACGTGGTAGTGGTAGTGGTAGTGGTAGTGGTAGTGGACATCATACGTGATGTAGCTCAGATGTCACCGCATCGTGCTCAATGGGGAAGCATTTACGTTAGATTTCGCATCAGCCATTGTGCGATCACTAATTGTCACTTCCCCCGCATCTGTTCCCCCGCTGCTTCGGTTTCGCATGTGATTTTTTTCGTGACGTTATTAAAGAAATGTGTTTGACTTCATGAACCAGAAACGTGATTCATCAAAAAATTTTTACACTGATGGTACGATGTTCGTGGTTTGCAACAATGCGCACCATCTCACCAACCATATAACAACCATAAGCAAATAATAAATAATAAATAAATAAATAATAAATAATAATAATAATAATAAATAATAATTTAATAGCAACCATATGCATATTATATCAAAACAAATGGTAGTGCTGTGAACGAATGTCAGGTCTGTATTCGAGAGCGTATGCATGTGTATGTGCGTTCGTGCGCGCGCGGATGTGTGTCTGCATGCGCGTGTGTGTGCGTGTGCGTGTGCGTGTGCGTGTACATGTGCGTGTGCGCGATTGCGTGCGTGTGCGTGTGCGTGTGCGTGTGCGTGAGCGGAGCGCACACTGGCGTGTACGTGTGAGTATGCGTATCCATCTGTGAGCGTGCATACGTGCGCGCGCTGTTGCGTGCATTTTCAATAGCAAAAACCATATGAATAGACAATTTGGCATACATGAATTTAAATAATTCATATTGTGGTAGAGTTTTTTACAACCCCCTGCAACTTTTCAGTTATATTTAACGACAGGAGGTTACTAATAACATGGTATTTTCTTTGCAGGTATCTTCAAAAGAATATGCTTCATAGAGTGCCAGCCGAGGCGCTTCACACAGTGCAGTATCTACAGATACTGTAAGTTGTAAAAAATTCCATTTAATCTGATTTCTTTGGTTTTTGCTGCTCTTGTGTTTCTATGTTGCTGGTGAATGTTGGCGCAGGTACCGAAGCTCAGTATCGATGGACGGTGTTTAATTAAATCAAGAGCAAGGACAAAATTTCAACCTGCCGTTACATCCCATATTAAAAACACCCAGCGAAGAAATCTACGCGTTCGTGTGCACACACACACACACGCGCGCACGCACACACACACACACACACACACACACACACTTTTATATCAAGAGCTAAAAATACCTTATTATTAGCTTAGGGCTATTATTACCTTATTTTTATAAGGTATTGTTAGCTCTTGATATATATATGGTGATGTTTGTGTAGAATGTCACATAGTCCAGCATAATCTTTGTCCTTTGGTAGAGTAGGCGCACAAAGATCTTTCAGCAGTGCGTACGTCTTTGGTTCAACCAGCATTATCGAGACTTTCTTCTCGTTGGCTATTCCGTTGGCGTCGATGAGCGCATCTAGCCGTTCAATTATCATTCCGCATACGAGGTCCAATCGTCGGTTGCATCATACGGTTCTAGGTTCCCAATCATCGCCATCCTTACTTTATTGTGAACTTCGAACGTTCTGTTCCAGCCTCGTCGCCAATTCGTAATGTCTGTGGGTTGATTAGGCTAGATTGGGACGGATACACTTGGACACAAAAACACTACGTCTAAGCAGCAGGTTTAGCCATATTGAAAGAGGGTTTATTACAATAGGTGGCGCTGTATTAAAACAACGTAACATCGGGGTACAGGCTAATACATTATGCATGTGTACAATGTAACCTGTATAATACAGTCGTTATGTTCCGCACGGCGAGTAGGCCCTCTAGCGGCCATTACGATCAGGAGCGGTAATCATTAACGTTAGTGTACAATGTAGATTAAATTCACTTAGTTATTTCGGCATTACCAGATTAATTTTCGCTAAGCTAAAGCCCGGCTCATACGTGAGTAATTTTACTCAGTAAAATTATGCATGCGTCAAAATACTCAAAATCAAACTTGTTTGATGAATTTTGACTCACGCGTCAAAATACTCAACGTGTGCGCGCTAGCTGCGTAAATTTACTCAACACTGGTACTTACAGCGCATGCGTTTAAATCATTTTAAAGTTGGCTGCGCCCAGTATTGGCTGCGCCCAGTCACCTGATCGGCATTACCACTTATATCACAGACTTATACCTTGAGTAATTTTACTCACGTGTGCGGCGGATGTTGAAAATATTTCGTGTGTGTATTTTGACGCATGCATCATTTTGTTCGAGTAAAATTACTCACGTGTGCGCCGGGCTAATGAGCGTAATTAATGAGCATACATAATGAGCATACATGATGAGCATACATGCGAAACCTACCGAATCAACGCATATATAGAATGGCACGATAATACGATGCATGCACGAATGTATCTCATGTTCATATCATTGTGTGAGGGAGGTGTTTACGCCGACAGCGCATGATGTTAGTCGCCTGCATGCTCATCGGAAGCGTCCGCGGCTTGCAATAAGACGCGTCATTGATCGGCTTATTCAGGAATCTCGAAGGCAATAACATCACGCATATCGAGGACTACGCTTTCAGAAACAACACGCATCTCACGATGATCAAAGTGACGGGCAACCGCATGTACAATGTCAGCAGGAAAGCGTTCACCGGACTGCCGAACCTAAAGAAGCTGTGAGTATTCGAATATGGCGTCGTATATATATATACATTCGCCAAATTATAGTAAGATAAGTGGCGCTGTATCAAAACAACATAACATCGGGGTACAGGCTAATACATTATGCCTGATAACAATGTAGATCTCAATATCTTACAATTCTCCCCCCCCCCAAGTAAACTAAAAGTTGCAAAAAACGTTTAGCGATGTCACCAATGACATTAAGGTCATTTACAGAAGCTATTGTTATGCTTTCCAAATTCTTTTATCTTTATATATGTTAACAACATCTACTATCTACAAACTACATGTGCAACATAAATTCTAGGCATATTCTGCGAATTTAAAACTGCACGATGAATCGTATCGCGGAATACAGAATGATTATTGACAAAGTGATACATGTGTATGAAACATGTTTCAACTAATATTTATCAGAATGAATCACCAAGATTCAACAAAATAATAAAGCTAATCATTAGTTCAATGATTCCGTCTTCACCGAGTTTGATCACTACATTTCAGAAATTAGTCTCTGAGGACATTTCACCACTCTCGTTGAGCGTCGTAGGCTTGTACTGGCGCTAGCGGTGTCCCCAGACGCATCGTTCACCATTGTAGAATCATCGGCTGATCGCTGTGGTTCTAGTCTAGCTACACTCTCTAGCGAACTTGACTGCGGCTAATCCGTGGGTAGGCATTCGCGTGTTGGCAGTAGAGTTTCTCTTATTTGTTCCACATGTCTCTTTCACAATCCACCTTCCTGCGTTTCAACAGAATAAGAAAGGGGACCAAGCGATTCAACAATTTTGCCCATCACCCATTTGTCGCTTCCTCTATACTCTCTGACTAACACTGTTTCCCCGATTCTGAATTCACGTGGCTTCCCGGCGTTCACTCTTTGTGCCGCTTGCCTTTCGGACACTTTTCGCTACAAATCAGGTTGAATCACGTCAAGCCGCGTTCTCAGGTTTCGTTTCAGAAATAACTGCGCAGGACTAACATCTGTCGTTGCATGAGGTGCATTCCTGTAGTACATCAGGAAATTGTCCAATTTCAGTTGCTTTCCATCCTTATCAAACTTGGCAGTTTTCAACGCGTTCTTGAACGATTGCACAAATCGCTCAGTGAGGCCATTAGTGGCGGGATGATAGGGTGCAGCATTAACCTGCGTTATACCATTATTTCACAGAAACGTCGCAAATTCCGAAGACTTGAAGTGCGGTCCATTGGCAGCTACAGTTTCTTATACATACGAGGCACAGTGGCGCACCGCCGTTGTCAAATTTCACATCGCCGTTGTGAAAATGTTCCTGTATTTACCTGCCGAATATTAAAAGTGATATTTTATTTTCAGGGTGCCTCAAATGCAGTCCAAGACATTCAAATTCATAAATTTTTGCTGGGGAGACCCCGCAGAACCCTCTCAGCGAGAGGGGAAGTTCCCCCTTTCCCTCACGTCCGCCTGCAGCGTCCGCGTGCGTTCTACAGCACGCCTTTGAATCCATCATGCCAGTTCTTCCGCAAACTGGCCATTACCTCCTTTGTTTAATTTTCCCTCAGAAGAATACTACCGTTTTACAGATTCCGTACCGTGCAAATACGCTTCTGAGTAAAGTAATCGTTTTAGCAGACGAACTGTCTTTCATCGCCAACACCTCTGGCCACTTAGAGTGTGCGTTAACAATCACTAGGTACATAATACCATTAATTGGTCCTGCGTAATCAATGTAAATGCGGTCGAAAACTCCCTCCGGCCATTCCTATGGCTGTAACGGTGCTTTACGTGCTTCCTTTGTGCCAGTTGACATCCCGGACATGACTTCGCTATCGCTTCGACCTGCTGGTCCATTTTAGGCCACCAGCAGTATCCGCGTGCAACTAACTTCATTTTCACTACACCGAGATGTCGCATGTGTAACTCATCGCATACTGCCTGCTGTAGCTTTGGGGTATCACCATTCGATTTCCCCACAAAGCACAATCTTCCACCAGAGACAATTCATAGCGTCGTCTGTAATACGCTTCAAATTCAGGCTTCCTTTTGCTAGGCCAGCCATTTCGCACATACATAACAACACGCGATAGTGTTGGGTCACGTCGTGTTTGTTCCTTAATTTGCTTGAAGGATACAGGCAATACTTCGAAACAGTCAGTGTAGACCAGCTCCAAGTCGTCTGGTTTCTTAGAATTGCTCACTTTGCATGGCTAGGGTAATCGCGAAAACGCGAGAGCGTTAGCGTGATCCACGCTCTGTCGATATTGTATCTCATAGTCAAATCCCTTCACATATATCGCTTGTCGCGTCAGTCTCGCAGCCCCTGTAGTTGGAATTTCTTTCGACGGATTTAACTATCGCGTAAGTGGTTGATTGTCCGTCAGCAGCGTAAATTTTCTTCCTATCAGGTATGCACTAAATTTCTGAACACCAGCGCTTCCTTGTCTATCTGAGAATAGTTATTTTTCGCTATGGACAAACTGCGAGATACGAATGCGACAGGTCTCTGTTCTATTCCCACCACGTGCGATAATACAGCACCTATACCGTAGGGAGAAGCGTCAGTAGCTAGCTTGATCGACAGTCTTGGATCGTAGCGTGCCAACACTTGCTCTTCTGCAATCATTAACTTGGCCCTTTTGAAAGCATCCTGGAACTCCCTTGTCCATAACCAAATCTTTCCCCTTTGTAGCAACTGATTGAGTGGGTATATTGCTGACGAGAGGTTTGGTAGACATCTATGATAATAGTTCAACAAACCCAAGAACGAACGAAGTGTTTGAACATCCGTCGGTGCAGGTGTGTTTACTTACTCTAAGACGTCTACCTTATCCTGTGACATATGCTAACCGTCCCTGTCGATGAGGTGACTCATAAATGCCACACTAGGCTGCAATAATTTACATTTCTTTGCGTTCAGCACTAGCCCGTGTTCGCTAAGCCGTATGAAGACTTTCTCTAGCCTCGTCAAGTGCTCGTCATCGTTCGCTTCAGTCATGGTGATGTCATCCAATATGCATTCGATTCCAGGAATTCCTTGTAGAACCTGCTCCATGAGCCGTTGCCACATTCCAGTCGCGGGTTTTAACCCGTACTGGAGCCTGTTCACTCGGTACAGACCCTTGTACGTGTTTATGGTAAGCAAGTCCTTTGACTTATCGTCCATTTCCAAATGCAGATATGCATTTTTCAGATTGAGTTTGGTAAACTTCTCGCCGGCAGCTAACTTTGCGAAAACATCCTCAATCCTGGGCATTGGGTGTTTGTCTGGTCGCAGCACTAGGTTTAGGGTTATACTATAGTCTCCGCATAATCTTACCGATTTATCAACCTTGATAATTGGTACAACAGGCGTGGCCCAATCACTGAACGGAACTGGCGTGATAATGTTATCATTTTCTAGCCTTTCCAACTCCAATTCCACTGCGGGGCGGATGGAGTAAGGCACGTTCCTTGCCTTGCAGAATTTCGGAGTCGCATTCTCCTCCAGGTGTAGTCGACCTACGTTCCCCTTTAAATGTCCAACCTTGTCGGAGAACAATCCCGAAAACTTTTCGATCAGATTGTCAACACGCCCTTGAATCGTTTCGTCTGCGCGTGACGTCACGTTCGTAGTCGCGTGTACCTCCATGGCGAATATCTCGTTCTACGGTAGCTTCATCTTTCTCAGCCACGATCTACCGAATAAGGGCGGTCCTCCCTTTTCTACAACGTATATTTCGTCGTTCACGTCATGGCCATTGTCGGTAATGTGCACTTTGTATGCACCGAGGCACTTAATTCTCTCGCCTGAAATCGAATTCTTCTCGATTAATTCTCTTCTTACGAAATCGTCCTTAGCGTCGCCTAGCTTCGCGTCAGGGAAATACTTTATAAAATCTTGCTGGTTTATGTTGCTGTATGAAGCCCCCGTGTCCAGTTCCTTGGGAACATTTACGTCGTTTAGATGTTACGTTGTTGATGAATTAACCTTATTTACTCGCATGTTCTGAATATGCCGCTGTGTTGTAAATCATCAGATTCATCCGACTGTTGGTCAACATTGTGAACCTTTCGCTGTTGTTGCTTTCTGCGAGCTGTTTGTTGGGGTTTTTTCGCCGTGCTGTTTTTCTTCTTGAAACAAGCTTTCTCAATGTGGCCATCAACTGAAAAAAGTTACACTTCGTTTTGATGAACCTACAGTTATCTGGTGCGTGCCTAGATCCAAGAAACGGTATTGCAGGGTTAGAATAACGGTGTGTATATTGACGTTAGTCACACAGCCTGGTCGGGTTAGTTTGTGCCTTGAGCCATCGCACCGGCAGCAACGTGTTTTGTTAGTTGACCTCGGAAATCGATGTGCGTGTGTAGCGCTCTTTCTTTGAACGTAATCTACATTCGCTCGTGGTGGTTTTCCGCTGATCTCGGTTAATATGAACATGATTAATTCATAAAGTTATATTAAAATGATCTGGCCGCTTCTATACCCGATGCAACATCTGTAGCCTTTCTCAACGTTAGATCTATTTCAGTGAGCAGGCGCTTCTGAATGGACGTGAGTGTTAATCCAAACACAATCTTGTCCCTGAGGGATTCGTCTAGGCGATCACCAAAATTTCAATGTTTAGCTAAATCTTTCGGCGATAACGAGTGGTTTTTGTGAATGGTGAGTGGTTTTGGTGATGTTTGTGTAGAATGTCACATAGTCCAGCATAATCTTTGTCCTTTGGTAGAGTAGGCGCACAAAGATCTTTCAGCAGTGCGTACGTCTTTGGTTCAACCAGCATTATCGAGACTTTCTTCTCGTTGGCTATTCCGTTGGCGTCGATGAGCGCATCTAGCCGTTCAATTATCATTCCGCATACGAGGTCCAATCGTCGGTTGCATCATACGGTTCTAGGTTCCCAATCATCGCCATCCTTACTTTATTGTGAACTTCGAACGTTCTGTTCCAGCCTCGTCGCCAATTCGTAATGTCTGTGGGTTGATTAGGCTAGATTGGGACAGATACACTTGGACACAAAAACACTGCGTCTAAGCAGCAGGTTTAGCCATATTGAAAGAGGGTTTATTACGATAGGTAGCGCTGTATCAAAACAACATAACATCGGGGTACAGGCTAATACATTATGCATGTGTACAATGGAACCTGTATAATACAGTCGTTATGTTCCGCACGGTGAGTAGGCCCTTTAGCGGTCGTTACGATCAGGATCGGTATTCATCTCAATATCTTACAGGAGTTATATTTGAAAACACGCTTCCATCTCCGTTTGGAAATTCACTTACTTATTTCGGCCTTACCAGATTAGTTTTCGCTAAGCTAAAGCCCGGCGCATACGGGAGTAATTTTACTCAGTAAAATTATGCATGCGTCAAAATACTCAAAATCAAACTTGTTTGATGAATTTTGACTCACGCGTCAAAATACTCAACGTGTGCGCGCTAGCTGCGTAAATTTACTCAACACTGGTACTCACGGCGCATGCGTTTAAATCATTTTCAAGTTGGCTGCGCCCAGTATTGGCTGCGCCCAGTCACGTGATCGGCATTACCACTTATACCACAGACTTATACCTTGAGTAATTTTACTCACGTGTGCGGCGGATGTTGAAAATATTTCGTGTGTGTATTTTGACGCATGCATCATTTTATTCGAGTAAAATTACGCACGTGTGCGCCGGGCTAATGAGCGTAATTAATGAGCATACATAATGAGCATACATAATGAGCATACATGATGAGCATACATGCGAAACCTACCGAATCAACGCATATATAGAATGGCACGATAATACGATGCATGCACGAATGTATCTCATGTTCATATCATTGTGTGAGGGAGGTGTTTACGCCGACAGCGCATGATGTTAGTCGCCTGAATGCTCATCTGAAGCGTCCGCGGCTTGCAATAAGACGCGTCATTGATCGGCTTATTCAGGAATCTCGAAGGCAATAACATCACGCATATCGAGGACTACGCTTTCAGAAACAACACGCATCTCACGATGATCAAAGTGACGGGCAACCGCATGTACAATGTCAGCAGGAAAGCGTTCACCGGACTGCCGAACCTAAAGAAGCTGTGAGTATTCGAATATGGCGTCGTATATATATATATATATATATCAAGAGCTAACAATACCTTATAAAAATAAGGTAATAATAGCCCTAAGCTAATAATAAGGTATTTTTAGCTCTTGATATAAAAGTGTGTGTGTGTGTGTGTGTGTGAGAGAGAGAGAGAGAGAGAGTGAGAGAGAGAGAGAGAGAGAGGGTGGGCGTATGTGTGTGTAAGAGTGTGCGTGCGTGCGCGTGTGTGTGTATGTGTGTGTGTGTGTGTGTGTGTGTGTGTGTGTATTGTGCGTGTTGTATG